GAGCGGGAGCGTTGTTCTTGCTGGGAGCGGCGCCAATTCAAAAGAGAAATGGGCGCCAGCCCAGCGTAAAACGGAAGGACGTCTCGGGCGGGAGCACTGATTTTGTTGGGGCGGCGGCTTTCGGCGGCGAGGAGGAACACCGCCTTGAGTAAGACGGGAAGAAGTATTGAGCGGGAGCCGTGGTGTTGTCGGGACGGGGGTTGTCGGCGGCGAGGAACAGCACGGTCTTCAGGAAAAAAGGGGGATGCCTCGAGCGGGAGCGTTGTTCTTGCTGGGAGCGGCGCCGATTCAGAAGAGAAATGGGCGCCAGCCCAGCGTAAAACGGAAGGAAGTCTCGGGCGGGAACACTGATTTTGTTGGGGCGGCGGCTTTCGGCGGCCAGGAGAAGCACCGCCTTGAGTAAGACGGGAGGAAGCATCGAGCGTGAGCCGTGGTGTTGTCCGGACGGGGGTTGTCGGCGGCGAGGAACAGCACGGTCTTCAGGAAAAAAGGGGGATGCCTCGAGCGGGAGCGTTGTTCTTGCTGGGAGCGGCGCCAATTCAGAAGAAAATTGGGTACCAATCCAACGTAAAACGGAAGGACGTCTCGGGCGGGAGCGCTGGTTTTGTCGGGGCGGCGGCTTTCGGCGGCCAGGAGGAACACCGCCTTGAGTAAAAAAGGGAGGGAGCCCCTCGAGCGGGAGCGTTGGTTCTTGCTGGGGGCGGCGCCGATGAGAGAAAGACGAGCGCGCCAGTCCAAGGTAAAACGGGAGGAACACTCGAGCGGGAACGCTGGTTTTGTTAGGACGGCGGCTTTCTCTCGGCGGCGAGCGAGAACATCAGCCCTGAGTAAAAAAGGACGAAGTCTCGGGCGGGAGCGTTGTTATTGTTGTTGTTGTTGGTGGTGGTGTTGGTGTTGGTGTTGGTGTTGGTGTTGTTGTTGTTGTTGTTGTTGTTGTTGTTGTTGTTGTTGTTATTGTGGTTGTGGTTGTGGTTGTTGTTGTTGTTGTTGTTGTTGTTGTTGTTGTTGTTGTTGGAGGGCCGGTTTTGGCAGTCCCCCTGACCGCTCGAGCGTGAGCCTCAATTTCAATGAAAATGTAGCCGGCGCCTCGGCGAGAGCGCCAAGGCGCCTGTACGGGGTCCAACAATAAAACTTGTTAGAACTTAGCACTCAACAGCAACAACAAATGGTTAAGACCGTTCGCCCTTATATGCTCGAGTGTCCAACAACGCGTATTTCCCAAACCCTCGATACCCGCCCTCTTCGTCTTCGATCGAACCCGTTTTGGGGGGTATACCTTTCTTCCATGCAGGCCCGGCCCCGGCAAACGGCGGGGCGGCCGCGGACCGTCGGCATGGCCAGCGGCAGCGCTGATCGGCGGGGCGGCCGCGGACCGTCGACCCGACCCCAAGAGGGACGGACAGGGGACCGACCACGACGACGACGACGACGACGACGTCGACGACGACGGCGACGACGACGGCGACGACGAGCGAAAGCGAGAGCGAGAGAGAACGACAGCAGGGCCACGAACGACACGACGTAGGCAACGAAAGGCGACAGCGGGGACACGAAGGAGATGCGTATGGGGCCACGAAGTGCGCGAACGAGCGGGGGCCACGAAGTGCAGAAAATGCGGGGCCACAGAAGGCAACCATGGGGCCACTGAGGGTAGCAACTGGGCCACGTAGGGCAGTGAGGGGGACACAAATGGCGACAGCGGGGCCACGAAGGGCATGCACATGGGGCCACAACGGGCGCGACTCCTGGGCGCCTGGATGTCGGGAGCGCGGCGCTTGGGCAAATTGCAAGAGATCCCAACGCAAGGCCATTCTTCAATAAGTTGCAAGCAAGTCTCCAGCGAGAGCGCGACTCCAGCGCGCCGGGAGAGCGAGATCTGAATAAATTGTAAGGGTGTCCCAAGAGAGACTGCGATTCCTGAATAAAATGCGAGGGAGTTTGGGCGGGAGCGGGGGTCCTGGTTACATTGTGAAGAAGTCTCAGGCGGGAGCCGTTGTTGCAACCAGGGGGCCATCACAACAACAACGATCATTTTGAGACTGTTCGCCCTTATCTGCTCGAGTGTCCAACAACGCGTATTTACCAAACCCTCGGTACCCGCCCTACTCGTCTTCGACCAAGCCCCTTTTGAGCGGTATACCTTTCTTCCCTGCAGGCCCGGCCCCGGCAAACGGCGGGGCGGCCGCGGACCGTCGGCCTGGCCAGCGGCAGCGCTGATCGGCGGGGCGGCCGCGGACCGTCGACCCGACCCGAAGAGGGACGGACAGGGGACCGACCACGACAACGACGACGACGACGACGTCGACGACGACGGCAACGACGACGTCGACGACGACGGCGACGACGACGACGACGGCGACGACGACGACGACGACGACGAGCGAAAGCGAGAGCGAGAGAGAACGACAGCAGGGCCACGAAAGACACGACGTAGGCAACGAAAAGCGACAGCGGGGGCCACGAAGGGCAGATAATGCGGGGCCCCAAAGGCAACGATGGGGCCACTCAGGGTAGCAACTGGGCCACGTAGGACAGTGAGGGGGCCACAAGCGCCGACAGCGGGGCCACGAAGGGCACGCACATGGGGCCACAACGGGCGCGAACGAGCGGGGGCCACGAAGGGCATACGTATACCGGGCCGCGGACGGCAAAGACGGGGCCACTGAGGGCAGCAAGGGGGCCACAAAGGGCAGCGACGGGGCCACGAAAGGCAGCGGGGCCACGAAGGGCATGCATATGGGGCCACCACGGGCGCGAACGAGCGGGGGCCACGAAGGGCATACATATATGGGGCCACGAAGGGCAGCGAGGGGGCCACGAAGGGCTGCAACGGGGCCGCGAAACAAAGCAAGGGGGCCACGAAGGGCTGCAACGGGGCCACGAAAGGCATGCAACGGGGCCACGAAGGGCAGCGAAGGGGCCACGAATGGCTGCAACGGGGCCACGAAACAAAGCGAGGAGGCCACGAAGGGCTGCAACGGGGCCGCGAAGGGCAGCGAGGGGGCCACGAAGGGCTGCAACGGGGCCACGAAACAAAGCGAAGGGGCCACGAAGGGTTGCAACGGGACAACGAAACAAAGCGAGGGGGCCACGAAGGGCTGCAACGGGGCCACGAAGGGCAGCGATATCCCGATTCCGAGGTAATCTGTGAAGGAGTCCTAAGCGTGAGCGCGACTCCTGGGTGCCTGGGTGTTGGGAGCGCGGCGCTTGAGTAAATTGCAAGAAATTGCAACGCAAGGGCGCTTTTCTTCAGTAGATTGTAAGCAAGTCTCCATCGAAAGCGCGCCAAGAGAGCGAATCTGAATGAATTGTAAGGAAATCCCCAAGCGAGAGCGCAACTCCTGAATAAAATGCAAAGAAGTCTCGGGCGGGAGCGGGGGTCCTGGCTAATCTGTGAAAGCCCTCAGGCGGGAGCCGTTGCTGCTGTAACTCGGGGGCCAGGGGCCCAGCTTAAACCTCAAGACTTTCTTTGATCAAGAACTGGGTGAGAGCGTCGAGGGGCGCAAGTTGATTGAGAAAAAACAGTATGCACCAATGGGGGGTCAACGCTACTTATCTTCAGAAATGAAAGTTCAACGACAATCATGTTAAGACTGTTCGATCTTATCTGCTCGGGTGTC